CATCCATCCATCCATCCATCCACCCACCCATCCATCCATCCATCCACCCACCCATCCACCCACCCATCCATCTACCCACCCATCCAGCCAGCCAGCCATCCAAACATCCACTCAGCCATCCACCTCTCAGTTTATGCTCCTGTTTATGCATTTGTCCATCCCCCCCAGCCAGTCATTCAGCCTTCAATTCATCTCTCTATCCATCTGTCAAACCATCAACTCATCTTTTTATCAGTTCATTTTCTGTGCATCCACCCGCCCACCCACCCATCCATCTGTCCCGCCAGAGAGCAGGGGGCAGCCTGCTTTCCATCCTGATTCTCATTACGAAGCTTTTCCTCGCTTCTTTTCTCACCTCTCAACATGAAAACTGAACGGCCCACGGTGTGGTTGTGTTGTGCACGCCCAGGGACGTGTCTCTACGAGGGGACTAGGCGGCTTCACTTCATCACCCTGACACCTCTGCACACCCCTGTTCCCAGACACCTCACCTCCGGAGCGATCTGCTTAGGTAAATATCTGCATCTGTATTTTCAGTCCTGGGGATTGAGCCCAGGCCTTCACTCTGAGCTACATCCCGACCTCCTTTTATGTTTTATTTGCAGGCCAGGTCTTCGGGCTGGGCTCAAACTGGCAAATCTGCCCGCCTCAGCCTCACGTACCAAGATAATGCTCAAATGCCATATTTTGAACATCAAAATTAATGCCAAAAATGCGATGAACAAAACAATCAGCGCTCTGCTGATTCCTATGGGCGCCTGAAGAAAAATATGTAGAAGAAAGCTATCCGCACCTCCGTGAAGCTGTCCGGTGCTTTGCCCTCTGAGAGTTCATTCTTTTTTTTCCGGAACATTTACATAGCAACAAATATAATGAAAATAGAAACACAGATGTGTGTAAACTAAGACCGTTGCTTTAAATATTTAATTTATACCCAAACTAGACCTGTTTTCTGGTAATTGTACTTTCCCGGCTTTAGTGCAGCCGTGCTTATGAAAATTAGTCTGAAGCTAGGCACGGCGCGCACACCTGTAATCCCAGGACCGTGGGAGGCTCAGGCAGGAGGTTCACAACAGCGAGGCTACCTGGGGAAACTTAGCGAGACCCTCTCTCAAAATGAGAAATAAAAAAGTGTTTTAAAAGGGCGGGGGCTGGAGCACAGCAGGAAGGGTCTGAGTTCTATCCCCTCTGGCCCACTGTTGCTTCCGTTTTGGGTGCTTTCTTTCCTCACAAACTTTTCCCTTTTTTTCAGGGTTTCTACACACTGCCGCACATTTTTAGTGGTGCTGAGCACTAAGTTTAAGCTGTGCGGCTGAAGCCAGGGGTGGTGCACGCCTGTTGTCCCAGCACTCAGGAAGCTGAGGCAGGAGGATCACTTTGAGTTCCAGGCCAGCCGGGGCTACACAGCGAGACCGTGTCTCAAATGAACAAAGAAACTTGTGCAGCTGAGCTGAGTCCGCCAGTGCTCAAACCCCCGCCCTGCCCAGCGTGCGCGGCCCCCCTGGACTCCTCAATTTCCTGGGCTCCCTCAGACATGGGGCCTTGACCTACTTTTTTCAACTTGTAACTTTCTGATGAGTCCCCAGTTGCAGTACATAACCGTGGGGAGTCGTGCATGGACAGAACACATCTCAGTCCGTTTTCTGGCCCCTTGCCCTCCCTCCTCTCTACCTGTTGGTCCACTTCTGTTTTCCAAAAGGTCCAGCTCTGAATTTCCTGCTTTTTTTTTTTTTTGGTCCTTATTTACATGTGTTTATTTACATGGGTTTCTCAGATAAAAGATGTGATATTGAAGCTCTGTGTCTAATTTACTTCATTTAACATTTTGATCCCAACATGCATCTGTTTTCCTACACGTGACTCAAGCGTATCCTTCTTCGGGACAGAGTAGTACTCCCTTGTGTATAAATACCACATTTTCTTCACCCATTCATCTGCTGACGGACATCGAGGCTGCTTCCAAGATGTAGCTCTTGTGAGTTGTGCTGCTGTACACACGGGTGTGCACGGATCACTGTCATATGAGGTCTTTCTCTCTTTGGGGAAGACACCAGGCCAGGGAACACCTGGGTCCCGTGGAATTTCTAGCTTCGGTTTTCTGAGGAATCTCCATGCTGCTTTCCAGCCACGAGGCCTTCCAGCCGCCCAGTTTGCCCAAGTCTGGTGACCCTACAGTGCCGATTTCCCGTGCCCTCGCTGAGGGCCGCCCTGGGCCTGCAGCTCCACGGAGAGCCAGGGAGGGAGGGAGCAAAGGCCCGGCCTTTCCTTCCTGTCTTCACCCTCCCAGCGCTTCCTGTTGCTAAGCAACACAGAGCCCACGGGGAAGTTGGGGTAGGGGATTTTAGGAGAACTTCCCACTTTTTAAAACATTATTTTTTTGCAAGTGTAAAACACTTCTCCAAACACACTCCAGTGAGAACAATTGCAAAGAAATGCTACCAAGCACGGTGGCTCAGTGGCCTCGAGTTGTGCGCTACCCAGCCAGCCGGCCCCAAAGCGGTTTCTGTTTCCCGAGATGAAAGCGATTGTTGATCACTGTGGAGCAGACGCAGATCGGTGCTTTTCTGCCACAAGAAAGAAACCGGTGGTGGTGAGGGGAGCCCCAGCGGGTGGGGAAGGGCCCGGCGACGGGAGAAAAGCTGCATCCTGCAGGCCAAGTGGACGAGACCAGGGCAAACGACCAAGCCCTCGCAGGTCTGGAGATTCCTCCACCTCAAGCAGCAGCCCATCAATAGACATGACTTTTACGGGAGACTCCGGGAACTGAGACGCCTCCCTGAGGGGTGGGGTGCTGTGTGCAGAGGAGCCAGTGGCGATTCTTTCCAACAGCAGACTTGTCATCTTTGTTTTAAAAGCAGCCCATGCCCAATTCCCATCTCACGTACAGCTAAGAACCCACAGTACCCTGCAACACACCCAGGAACTGGAATATTATACACTCGTGAAAAGGAACAAAGTTCAGTGCACAGTTCCTGAGGACACGGTGCTGAGTGAGACGGGAGGACTCATGGTGTGCCATTCCACTGGTAGGAAATGTGGAGAACAGGGCAATCCAGACACAGGAAGTGGACTCCTGGGGGCGGGGGGCTGGGAGGGACCCGTACCGGGGACAGCGTCTCCTTGGAGGGAGCCAGAAGAGGCCCGACCTTCTCAGATGTGGGGATTCTGGGGCCACGTGAGTGCACTAAACCTGCCCAGAATTGCTGGCTTTGAATAAATCACACGGCTGGTGACTGTCACCTGGATTTTTTAAAAATGAGGAAGGCGGACGCCAGGCTTCCTGTGTCAGCTGAATCGGGGCCCGGTGCTTCCTGCTCTGGTCCGGGTTGTTCCTGGAGCCCAGATGCAGGCCCGCGAGCCCGTAACCCAGAAAACACTCACATGGTGGTAAAGTCCGTCTGCCGCGATCCGTCACGGTGGAAAAGCCCCGGTGTGAGGCGGAAGAAGCCACGGTCTGCAGGGAGCTTTCCAAAAGCAAATGCAACTCGGCCGTCTCCCCCGGAACCGCACCCCACCTGTGTCCGAGGCCACACGAGCGAGCTGCCCGGAGGCCGTGGGGAAACTAAGGCCCGGCCAATGGACCGCACTGGGCCCTCGTCGGCACCGCTGTGGGCTTCTGGAGGCCACAGGCCCGCCCGGTCCCTCGTGGCCTCCTGCCCCCAACCGTCTGCATCCACAGGGAACCACGATTGCAAACACAGGCAGATCCCAAGCGTGCAAGTGTCCTGGGGTTGCTACAACAGACACCCCCCCATCGAGGCTGAAAGCAGCAGGAGCTCACGCTCTGCGAGTCCCAGACGGAGCCCAGCAGGCTGAGACCTCCCAGGGAGACCCTCCTGCCTCGGCCTGCCTGCTCTTCCATCAACCCTCTGCTCTCTCTCCGCCCCAGCACCCAGAGTGCGGCTCGCTGCTCCTTCCTAGAGGGAGCCGCTTCACAATCCTGTCCGCACCCTTCCTCGGCCGTTCGCCGGGCCTGGACATCACACCCCACCCACGGTCCCTGCCTTGTGTCTCCTTTTGAGACAGGGTCTCGCTAAATGGTCCAGGCTGCCATGCCCCTGCCTCGGCCTCCCGAGGAGGAGCTGGGGTGGCAGGCGTGACAAGGAGAGGTGATCCCGAGCCCTGGGGGTCCCCAGCTGGGCCTCTGTGGGGCCCTGGCCCGGTGTCTCGCCCTGAGCTCGGGGCTCTACGGGCCAAGGCAGACTGCACTCCAGAGGGGGCTGCCGGAAGTGACGTCACCGGAGCCCCCCGGCGGCCGGGAGTGAGCGCCGCCCCCCCAGCCGTGTGTGTTTCTGCGGGAAGCTCATGCCAGGCCCTGCGGAGCAGAGCGAGGCTGTGCTGCCCGGAGGTGCCAGGGCGGGGCGCATCCTCTTCCCCTGCGGTCTTGGCCACACGTAAACAACAGGAGCCCGGGCTGCAGCTCAGCGCGCCTCCCACAGCCCCAGGGCGGAGTCAGTGGCGCTGGAGGTGACGCTGAGGGGTCCCGCACCCCGGGGACTGCTTCCAACTAGGCGTCCACAGCCCACGCGGTGCCTCGTGGTCACATCCCTTGTGGGGGCTGCGGCACGCACGCGGCTCAGCTTCCTTCTTTTCCGTCGGTCTCCTCTATCCCTTGACCCCCTTTCCTTCTGGAAAAGACCTGTCTCCCCGATAATTCCTATCCTCTATCTTTTATTGTGCTCTTTGGGTTTGTCATGTAAGTGACACCTGGCCCCGCTGAAGCTCCGGTGTCTGCTTTATTGCACTTAAGATGCATCGATTTTCCTACACGTGGCTCACGTTTGTCCTTCTTCATGGCAGAGTAGTACTCCATTCTGCGTAAACACCGTATTTCCTTTATGTACTCGTCTGTTCATGGACACGCAGTCCGTTTCCAAGATTGAGTGCTTACGAGTCTTTATGGCATGAATTCGAAACTGTGGGCACATGCTGGGCGTGTGTCTGTCCCTGGACCTCAACTGGCAGGGCTTCTGCAGCCATCAGACTCTGCTCCGAGGGACTCCGACCACTCTGTGCGGCAGCTCACTCTGACTTTGCCCACCTGTGGAGCCTGGGCATTTCAGACGGAGTCTGAGTGACACAGAACCTGAGTGACTGACAGACAGCCCAACTCCACGGCTCCGGGTCCCAGCGGCCCGAAATGCAAGGTCCCTGCGAGGCACAGCCCGTGTGCTTTGCACGCCGGGGTTTGTCGGCCCCATCGAATCTGTCAGAGTCTCTGTGCTTCGCTACCTATGGCCAGGACCCCGCTGCACCTGCAGGTCTGGCGTGCGCGGTCATGGAAGACCCAGCAGCAAGAAGCCAAGGTGCCAGGACACGAGGGGTGCCTTCCTCGCTGGGCAGCACAGTCCCCAGGAGACGGGCTCAGCGTGCTCGGCGCCTCGCCTGTGGTCCTCATCGCCGGGCCGGCCCTGGGCAGGAATCCTGGTGGCTCGGTTCCGCCTGTCTCCTGCTCCGACCTGGCTCCCAGCACGGATCTCCACACTTCTCTGTTCCACCCAGTCTCGCCCGGACACCGCAGCTGGCACAGGGGTGTGGGTGTGTGCGGGGTGTGTGTTGCACACGGAGCTGTGCATGGGCCGCCCAGGGGGCTGAGGGACAGTGAGCCCATGACCCATCCGGCGCCTGCATTTCCCAAGTGGAAAATGGGCCCGGGACCAGGAGCAGAAGGCGGGTAGTGGCCGCTTACGTACCACCTTCACATGTTCACCTCACTTCTCAGAGGCTGCTGAGATCTGTGGGCCTGCGCACCTCCTTCCTCCTGCAGGGCCAGCTGAAATCTGTGGTGAGGAGAAAGAAAACAGAAAGCGAAATATCTGAGACTGAGCCAGCCATGGAGATGCATTCCTATAATCCAGCACTCTGGGAGGCTGAGGCAGAATTGCCCAGCCCGCATAATTGAGCCAGAACCTCTCAGAATTTAAGAAAATGTATCTTTTTGTTCGGGTTTGTTTGCTTGTTTGTTTGTTTGTTTGTTTAAAGGCTGACGGTGTAGCTCAGTGCAAAGTCTCTGGGTTTTCAATTCCCAGTACCACAAAATAATCATCATCACCATCCTAGTCCATATCTGAGACTGCTGGCTTTGGAGGAAAAAGCTTTATTTTGGTTCATGGTTTTGCAGGCCAGAAAGTCCAAGCTCAGGCAGACCCCGCTGACTGGTGCCTGGTCCTGCAGCACAAGGTACGGACGTCCACGGAGTGAAGAATGGCGAATTACGGCGAGCAAGGCAGAGAGAAGATGCCAACCATTCCCTTTATTAGCAACCAGACCTCGCGATAACTCATCCGATCTCCTGGAAATCATCCTACTCTCGTGATAACAAATACAGTCTCAGGATAACTGATCCAGGTTCCCAAGCGTTAATGAAGTCTCCTGGTGATGAGCCAGTCTCGCGATAAGTGATCTGCTCCACTTGTAACTGCTCTTCTCTCGCGATAACGAACCTGCGCTCCCGGCGACTCTCCCAGTCTCGCGATAACTGGTCCCGCCTGGGAGACCAGCCCGCTGCTGTTTCCGACGGGGCTGCCATGTTGTGATTGGAGACCCAGCCCTTCCCAGAACCCGCCCTGTGCGGGCAGCGACCCCGCGCAGGAGCCCTGGGCCCCAGACCACATTGAAAGCACAGCAGCTGTGGGGATCCGAGCCCAGAGAGCGTGGAATCCCCCATGGCTGCGACGCACGCAGGGCCCGGAAGTGGATCGGGGCTCCCGGGGCTGGGAGCGGAGGCCGAGGCCGGCTGCGCTGGGCCGAGGGTCCTGGAGCCGGGCCGCTGTGCAGGGCTGCGGGTGGGCCGAGGCCCGAGGCGTGCGCTGGGACGGGCAGCGTGTGGCTGCGAACTGGGCACAGCGCTGCAGGGCTCCCGAGGCCTCTGTCCGGGCTGCACCCCAGCCCCGGGTCCTGCGCACTCCCGCCCCGCTGAGTTGGTGTTTGTTTCCGGCTTTGAGGCAGGGCCTCACTCTGTCGCCCAGGCCGGCCTTGAGCTCACTGTGGAGCCCAGGCTGGCCTGGCACTCGCAGATCCTCCTGCCTCAGCCTCCCGCGTGCTGGGATGACAGGGGTGCGGCCCACGCCCGGCTTCCAGCTCCGTTTAGAAAGAGGAAAGAAGCGAACAGAATGCAGGGCCGTGTGGCCGCCCTGGTCTGCAGCTTTCTGGGCCATGTTTTGAGCATGCCCGGAGCTAAGTCGTCTCGGAGGAGAGAAGTGGGCGAGGGACCCAGGGAGCTCCCGGCCGGCCCAGCCCGGGGCCAGAAGACCCCAGGGCCGTTTATTCTGGTGATGATCGGGACAGTGCGGCCGGCTAGGGGAGAACACAGGAGCCCCGGTGCCCTGGAGCCTCCCGCGTGCTGTGAGAACCGGTTCTCCCCAAGTGTGGGCTTCAGTGAGTGGGAGCTGATTTCTCTCAATCCTGGACACGAGGGATACCCAGTCTGTGCTCCCTCCACATAAGTGTGCTCAAGGGCTTGCTGAAAAACAGCCCCAATTGTGCAAGAAATAACATCAAAAATTAACACATGGGATTGTGGCAGGTGACAGATCTCCGCCACATCAGACCAGCCGTGAAGAGCCCGTCTTCTGCCTCCTCCAAGGATGTGGTCTTCGGTGTAGAGCCACGCTGAGCCAGGCAGGTTCATCTCAAGATCCTCAGTTGCGTCTCCGAGGACTTCAGCTCCCAATAAAGTCCCAGGCGCAGACCGCAGAGGCTGGGTCGGGGGCCTGTCCTTCCAGGACACCCCCCCCCCAGCCCACCAAGTCTTCTCCGGGCACAGTAACATCTCCATGTTCACCCGCATTTGCGTGAAGACCCTCAAAATCCCAGGCTGTGCACACCTGGGGAAGCAAAGTAGCTGGGCTGAGCCCAAGGCTGCCTCGCTAGACTGTGCAAAGAGAGAGATCCATCACGCCCTGGAGCGCAGCCAGTGCCCAGGGCGGCTCGGCCCAGCTGTAGGCCCCGTGCCTCCGTTTCCCCCATGGGCGTCCGGGGCCAGCAGTGCTCAGTGTCCCGGACCCAGCAGGCGGGGCGGCGGCCCGGAAGCGCCCGGCCTGGATTTCCAACACAGATTTGGGGATGGGCTGGGTTTCTATTTCGGTCCTTCCCTTCCTCCAGGACCTGCCAACTTTGTTACTCGCTCCGCATCAGGCCGCCGGGTCCCCTGGGCCCCAAGACATCCTGTGCCCTGTCCCCTGCTAAACGCCCGGGCTCAGCTGACTCCTCGGGAGCTGGGCTGGACTTTTCCAACTGTGGGCTCCTTGGAGCCCCCAAAAAGGGCAGAGGCCACGTCTGTGCAGCCTTAGATGTCCACGCACACGCACACGCACACCATCGGACTCCCCGGGATGCAGAAAGGGCCCTCAGTCAGCCAGACACACACAGAAGGTCCACACACCCCATCCATGGTGCCAACCCTGCATGTCTTCCTCTCATTCTTAGGTGTTTCAGTGCTGCATGCTCGGTGTGTGGGAGGGGTTGGCAGAGGAAAGCTGCTGACCTCGGGGTGCCTGGGAAGCAGAAAGAGACGGGAGGAGCCGGGGTGGGAGATCCCACCCCCAGTGAGCCCACTTACAACCAGGCCCCACTTTTGAGTCCATGAGGCTTGGGGGGGACACCAGACAGAAATCCTAACAACATGTGAGGGCCACTGAGCAGAGACCTGAAAACCGGGGACTGTGGCCCGCAGTGGGCCCCATGTTGCTTTTTTAAATAAAGTTTTATTGGAACACAATGAGGCCATTGGGTTCCTCCTTGTATCTCTCTGGCTTCTCCCCATCGTGGCCAGGTTGAGTCATCCCAGCAGAGGCTTATCAAGCCTGGGAACCGTAAAATGTTTACTGTTTGACTTTTTTAAGGGATATCATTTCCAATCCTGGTCTAGCAAGGCAAGTTGGGGTCTGGAACAATTAAAAGGGATCAGGGGTGCGTAGCAGCTCATCAGGATCCACAGATTTATCAAAATGCAGGGAAAGAGATCAAGGTAGTGGAGGAAAGGTTTATTTTGCATCACAGTTTCAGAAGGTTCAGTCCATGGTGAGCTGCTCCAGTGGTCTCGGAGGGCTCCGTGGTCGACTGCTCCAATGGTCTCAGGGGGTTCAGTCCATGGTCAGCTGCTCCAAGGCAGAAGATCATGGTGGACAGGCTTGGAGGAGGAGAGATACTCACATCGTGGTGACCAGGAAGCAGAGACAGAGACAGAGCACGCCTGGGACAAGGTAGTCTCCGAGGGGACATGCTATGACCCACTTACACCAACTGGCTTCTACCTCCTGGATTCCCATCACCTAAAGGATTACAAACACATCCGTGAATTAACCCCCTGATGAGCTATGGAACCTCCTGACACATTCTCAGGGTGCAGAGGGGTTCAGCTCGGCAGCGCAGGGCTTGAAAGGTGCTGGATGCGCTGCCTGGATTCTGGACTCTCATGTTCCTCTCCCAGCTGTGCCTTCTGCTCACAATGGATCCCTTTCGCAGGTGGCCACGGTGCCTCCCCCAGGGTGAGGACAGAGTCCATGACCACCACGTGGCTGAGCCTGGGCTTCCCATGGTGCTCGGTATTCACAGCTGTTTCCGGGACCAGTGTTGGACTCAGTAGGCTGAGTGAGGAAGGTCTCTTGGCCAAGACCAGAAATCCCCGAGCAATGCATTGCGGGCTTTCACAGCACGAAGACCAGCTTTGCCGTGGGTTCCTCCCGCCTCGACCCAGCTGTCCCCCTTTCTGAGAGATTTCAGTTCTTACGGTAAGCAAGGGTTTTCGGCACAGCATACCGACTGCTATATTTCTACATTTCTGCACATTTTCTTAAATTTTTGTTTTACTGGGACAGGCTCTTGCTGAGGAGCCCGGGCTGGCCTCCAATTCAGAGCAGACCCTCCTGCCTCAGCCTCCCGAAGTGCTGGGATGACAGGCGTGCGCACCACACTGGCCTCTGGCTTTCGGTTGGTGGCTCTGCCCCTGCGTGGGGGACGATGCAGGTCACCTCCGTGAACCCTGCAGTTCGTCTGCCCAGACCACGCAGCCCGGGCGGCTCCAGAGGGTCCCCAGGTCCCCAGTGCGGGTGTCGGGGAGCAGCCCCAGCCTGCAGCCCCCGCTCCCTACCCTGCTGGCTGCGGGCCAGGGATGCAGCAGTGCGCCCAGCCGGCAGGGCAGAAGGAAATGTGTCCTGTTAGCTTCTTTGTTTCTAAGGGTTTTTTCCACTTAAAAAAAGAAGCAAACAGGAATTCGTTCCTTGTGGGAATGCAGCGTCTGCTCACCGCCTGCTGTGAACGTCAACAACTCCTTCATCCTCCTCCTCTGCAGGGAGAGGAACGGGGAGGCCCAGGCCGCCCCTCCTGGTCCCACATCCTCCTGCAGCGACACAGGGGCGGGGCAGGCGGGCGGGGCAGGGACGCCTGTGCAGCCGCCTGGCTCCGGGCTCGCGGGCTCCTCGGAGAGAGCTCACAGACGGTTGCACAGGAAATTTCAAAACAGGTTTGCGCTGCTGTTGCTGCTGCTGCTGCTGCCACTCGACTCTCAGCCCGGCCGGCGGCTCTGAGGTGGACGCTGAGGACAGCGCACCTGGGGACAGGGGGCCGGGGCCAGAGGGCAGCCACGCACGGAGAGGTGGCACTGCCTCTGCCTGCCATGCCAGGGGGGTGACTCCAGGGCGCCTGGCCGGCCCAGCGGTGCAGAAGGAAGACGCCCTGCTGAGTCCAGGACCGCCCGGGGCTCTTCTGACCCAGCAGCTGAGACACCGGAGGCTGAGACAGGTGAGCCCCGCGGGTCCCTCTTAATTTCCTGTGTCAAGGAACAAGGAGGCGCGGAGGGGCTGAGTGCGGGAGCCGCCAGGAAGAGGGTCACGGCGCGCCCTGCTGGGTGAGGCTCCTAGCATAGCCGCAAAACCCCAGCGGCAGTCACAGACCCTGAGCTTCCAAACGTGTGCGTGTCCCAGCTGGCCAAGATGCGTCCTTGAGCAGCAGGTCTGCCAGAGGCTCCGATGTGGCCTGGCCTGGACGGACAGCAGACAGGGTTGCATGCCTCCCTCTCGGGGCTGACACTGGCAAGGCGGCTCCTCACAGTGAGCCGGGCCCCAGGCCATTGGCACGGACTCAGGAGATATGCCTGTTCCTGCCGCGCGTGTGGGAAGCAGTCACGGAGAGGTCAGGAACAGCGAGGGGCCAAACCCAAGCGTGGGGCCCTGTGGCTGCCGTTCCATACAGAGGAACTGCAGGTCGCGTGGCTCGAAAGCCTTGTGTGTTGTTTTTGCTTTTGCTTTTTTCTGCGGTCGTCTTGTTTATTTTGTGGAGATCCTGAGCAGCGGAAGCCAGCGCGTGAGGTGCACAGGGCAATTCTGGCCACCACCCTCCCCCCCGTCTGTCTGTCTGTCTGTCTCTGTCTCTCTCTGTCTTCCCGGTGCCCTTGTGGGCAGGGAAATCCATCAGACGCACAAGCTCAGAGAGCGCGCCAGAAACCCACAGGATAAATGAATAACGAGCAAATTAAGGGACAAATTAAAGGAATTAAAGATAAGGAAGAGGAGATGGGTCTTCTGCAAAACGGAGAGGGACACAGAGGATGGGAAGAGCGGAAGGATTAAAATGCGTAATGCATTTTACGGGGTGTGGTGGGGCTCCCCTGTCATCCCAGCCCTGGGGAGGCTGAGGCAGGAGGATCCTAGTGAGTCCAAGGCCAGCCTGGTCTGCACAAGGAGAACCTGCCTCAAAAGGAAACAGTTCTAAAAGGCGCGCCCTGTACAAGCCCCGAGCACCTGCTCCACGGTGCCGTGCCCGACTCCGTACATCTCAGGCCCGGGTAACCACAGCTCAGCAAAGGCCCTGGGGCAGCTGCAGCCGGGCGAGGACAGGACAAGGCCAGCTGGGGCTGGGGGTCAACCCCGTGACACCTTCACTGGGGCCCCTCCCAAGGCTCACCCACTCTTCCCCAAGGTGCACCCCGCTTCCCTGGGCGGGCGCAGAGCCTCACCTTGCGTGTGGCCGCCATGCTGAAAAGTGAGACACCTTGGTGATCTTCCTCCTCCTCCTCCTCCATCTCCTCCTCCACCTCCTCCTCCTCCATCTCCTCCTCCATCTCCTCCTCCTCCATCTCCTCCTCC